CCCAGGAGCGCTGTGGTGTGTGTGAATGCTGCTGGCTGGCCCTCTGCCCCAAGTGTTTCTCTCTAAAGCCTGACACCCCACTGTGCGACGACTGCTCTGAATTACATGCCACCTGCCCGTGACCATGGTCTCCTGACAGAATGCAGGGAGCCAGGCTCGGAGCCAGGTTCCCTCACTCCAGGTGGGCCATCCCCGGCAAGTCAGTGACGTTCCCAACATCCGTGAGCAGGGAACAGAAAAAGGTGCCAGTGCAAAGCGCTGACCTCACAGCCCAGCACACATCAGGCGTCTTGACTTTTCTTTGCTGCTTTCCAAACTCATTTAAAATGTACACGCCCCTTTCAGTCCTCCAAGGGGACCCTTTCTTCTGGGGAGGAGGGGCTGGGAGCAGAGGGGAGGCCAAGGGAGGCCGAGGGGAGGCTGAGGGGTGCCTCACTACATTTCTAGCCTTCATCAGCAGAGGGAGGCTCGGCCATGCTTCCGGCTGCTGCTTACGGGATCGGGCCCAGCACTGACACCAGCTTGGGCTGAAACCCAAGTCGGGGCAGGCAGTGGCAGGAAGCTGGCTCAGGGGCACCAGCACTGATGTCTATCAGCCCTGGAGCCAGGCGAGTGAACCCCAGGCTGCCAACCATGTCCTGGAGCAAGGCAGGTCCACAGAGGGCCAGGCAGCTGCGGGGGTGGGGATGGGCTGGTGATGCCAGGGAAGGTGTGTTCTGGTTCCCAGGGCCAATGAGCTGTGTGCCCAGCCGGTGTGGGTCAGTGGTTGAGTGTCGACCTATGAACCTGAAGGTCAGGGTTCGATTTCCAGTTAGGGCACATGCCCAGGTTGCGGGCTTGATCCCTAGTAGGGAGTGTACAGGAGGCAGCTGATCAATGATTCTCTCAGCATTGATGTTTCTATCTCTCCTCTCTTCCTCTATGAAATCAATAAAAAAAAATATATATTTTAAAAAGCTTAAAAGAGAAGGGAGCTGTGCAAGTCCACAGGCCTATGATGTTCTCATGAGCATTTGAGCATTCATGTGCCTGCCCTGCCGTCCCCAGCCTGCTTCCAGGGGAACCACTCACTTCCCCCGTGGGCGTCTGAATCAGGGGGCCCCGGGTTCACCTCTCCAAGAGGATGGGCCTTAAGGCCCCCGCTCGGCGTGTGAGGCGGCACATCGCTGAAACCCTGAGCTCTGCTTCCCCCGAGTCCGGCTCTCGCACCTAACTCATAGGCCTGAGGAGTCAACGTGATGCCTCCGTGTTCTTCGCTGAAACCCTAGAGCCTAGAACACAGCTGGCCCTAGGAGGGCCTTGGAAACATGTGTAAGAGGAGCCCACATGAGGCGGGTCTGACACCCAATCACCTTTGGTCAGGACCACCGCGGCTGCATTTTACTACTACTTCCACCACCTCCACCTTAGTAACATCATTTTGCGTTTCCCCATCTCCGAGAGCTCAGGGACAGGGTGGGCCTCGGATCCCTGCTGCTTACCGACCAAACGCCTCCTTTCCCTCCCCTCTCCGAGTCCCGGCTTCTCCCGAGGCCCAACTGGAGCCTTTCTTTCCAGGAAACCTTCCCCAGTCACCCCCACCCCCGCTTCCCTTCCTGGGGGGTCCCTGCAGCCTGACAGCGGCTGCCACATCACTACACCCTCAGGAAGTCTTGCCCCCTCCAGTTCGACGGCCCCTTGACCCTTCCCCAGAAGCCCGCCAGGCCAGGCCTGGGCGCAGGCAGTGAACAGCTCCTGGAGCAGGGGCCAAGGCCACGCAGGTGGGAGCCAGGCACTGTGTCCAGGACTGTGGACCAGACTCCCGGGCGGCAGGCTCCCTCTGACGTGCGCCTGCTGTGGCGGCTCACCCATTCCCAGCACAGCACCGTTTTCCCATCTCCGAGAGCCCAGGGACATGGTGGGCTCAGATCCCTGCTGCTTACCGACCAAACGCCCCCTGTCCCTCCCCTCTCCGAGTCCCGGCTTCTCCCGAGGCCCAACTGGAGCCTTCCTTTCCAGGAAACCTTCCCCAGTCACCCCCACCCCCACTTCCCTTCCTGGGGGGGGGTCCCTGCCGCCTGCGGTCCCTGCAGCCTGACAGCGGCTGCCACATCACTACACCCTCAGGAAGTCTTGCCCCCTCCAGTTCGACGGCCCCTTGACCCTTCCCCAGAAGCCCTCCAGGACAGGCCTGGGCGTAGACAGTGAACAGCTCCTGGAGCAGGGGCCAATGCCACGCAGGTGGGAGCCAGGCACTGTGTCCAGGACTGTGGACCAGACTCCCGGGCGGCAGGCTCCCTCTGACGTGCGCCTGCTGTGGCGGCTCACCCATTCCCAGCACAGCCGGGCAGCCTCCCCAGGGACACAGGCCGGCTGGTGTTCACACCCGCAGTGGCTTCTGGGGCGGGCACGGTGTGGGGCGAGATGGCAGGGCTCCCCCGTCTCTCCATGCACAGGCCCTGGCCAGCCCGGAGTGCTCGCCGGGCGGCCATGTTGCCCCCACAGGGACAGCCTCTGCTCATTAAGCGTTTGGGAGGTGCAGAACACGGCTACAGGGGAGGTGGAGGGGCTGGATGCCTTGAAAGGGGTCAGGAGAGCATTTTACCATCTGAGGCTGGGTGGGCGCCCCTTACATCTTACTGCCAAGGCCTCCGAGGTGAGAAACCCACCTGCCACCAACCTCAGCTACTCACCAAAGGCACCCAGGGCCCTTCAACCAGAGGAGTGAGGGACACAGACCCAGCCCTTCCTCCGGAACCCTGGCTGGGCAAAGCTTAAAAGTCACAGGTGCCACCCACGACCCCTTCCTCTGCCTCAGGTTCCAGCTTGGCCTTCCTCCTGCCTCCTGGGATGGTGCCCAGGGGAGGTGGGAGGACAGAAGGGCAGGGGCCTGGCTCCTGCTTCGGGGCCCCACACCCTGTGTCCCACAGTTAGCTTGGCTCCAGCCCCTGGCCCCCATCACCATGGCTGGCCCCCCATGCCAAGCAACTCCCCCGCCAGTCAATGCCTCTTACCAGGCTTTGGGATGAGTCCTTGGAAAGGCCTGGAAGAGAAGCAGAGAGGGGAGTGTCAGCGAGAGGGGCTGGGAGCTCATTAGAAATGTTTGGGGCACATCCAAGACCTACTGCATCAGAATCTGCCACTTTAACAAGATGGGCAGTGATTTGCGTGCACGGGACACTGCGCAGAAGACAGTGACCAGGGTCTCCTGCGGACTCTGCCCTGGATGGCTGTGACCTTGGGCAAACAAGTTGTCCCTTTTCCTCTCGTCTGAAGTGGGCCTGATGCCTCTCCCAGGGGCTAGGAGTGCAGTGGGCAGGTGCTGTGGGCAGGTAGAAGGTACCCGTGAAGGCCGTGCCTGCTACAGTGGTAACGATGTGGTGGCTGGTCTCACCTCTGGGGGCCCTCTGCACCCTGCTGGCCTGCAGTCCTCCCCCCAGCCCCCAGGACCCAGGTTGACACTGGGACAGCGGCACCGTCCTGCAGGGAGGGCAGGACAAACCGGAGGAAAGGCCAAGGGTCCCCTGTGCAAGCCCCCACCCATGCTACCACTGCCTCCTCCCCCGGACTCTGCAGCCAGCAGTGACCAGGGTCTCCTGCGGACTCTGCCCTGGATGGCTGTGACCTTGGGCAAACAAGTTGTCCCTTTTCCTCCCCTCTGAAGTGGGCCTGATGCCTCTCCCAGGGGCTAGGAGTGCAGTGGGCAGGTGCTGTGGGCAGGTAGAAGGTACCTGTGAAGGCCGTGCCTGCTACAGTGGTAATGATGTGGTGGCTGGTCTCACCTCTGGGGACCCTCTGCACCCTGCTGGCCTTCAGTCCTCCCCCCAGCCCCCAGGACCCAAGTTGACACTGGGACAGCGGCACCGTCCTGCAGGGAGGGCAGGACGAACCGGAGGAAAGGCCAAGGGTCCCCTGTGCAAGCCCCCACCCACGCTACCACTGCCTCCTCACCCGGCCTCTTCCCCCAGTACCTGGTGACTGTGAACTTGATCTTGTCAGCCACCGCGAGGATTCTCTCCAGGATTTGGGAACCGAAGGTGCAGGGCTTTCGGAAGGGGATTCCCGGGGGCAGCCCTTCAATGATCACGGAGCCGGGGTTACTCTTGATGCGCTTGTAGGGGACCTGGACCGGGTACTTGATGCCCAAGGCTTCCCCTTGGATGACGGATGGACGGAGGAAGCGTCATTAGGAGCCAGAGGCACCGCTGGTGTGAGGATGGGAGGTGTGTGTGGGGGCTTCGTGCACGAGTGCGAAAGAAACCTGTCATTTAGTACCAAGGAAAGGCACTATCAGTGGGGGACTGGGAGTGAGGGGGTGTGTTGTGCAGGAGGCCTCGGGGGTCAGGTGTGTGAGTCTGTGCCTGGGCTGAGGAGCGGGCAGGGGACGTGTAGCTACGGCTGTGGAGGGAGAGGGCAGTGGCTAATATTTCTCGGCATCCTCCCCTGCGAATCTGAAGGCCCACCTCGAGGATGTACCTTGTAGGCACAGCTTCCCTTCCCACAATGCCTGACCCTCCATCAGCTCCAGGGCTCTGCCTCCCCCTGGTTCAGGACTGGCCTGGCCCGAGGGGGCAGATGGCATTTGGGGGCAAGGAGAGCAGCTTGAGGCCAGCCAGGGAGCAGCTCAGACCTCGGGGCCCTCTTCCCACATCTGAGCGTTGGTGTCCTTCCTGCCAGCAGGCCTCTGTGCAGGGCTGGGGCATTCCCATCCCAGGCACGGTGCTTGGTCAGACAGCAGGCCCAGGGGCAGTCCTGGGGTGAGGAGGTGGAACTGCCAGCTGGTCCTCCCGTGGTTCTTGCCCACGGGGACCACGGACCAGGTGCAGGCACAGTAGCCCTGGAGGCTGCGAGGCTGACTTGAACGTTCATGGCTCTCCCAGCCTTAGATGGGGTCCAGCTGGAGACCCACGCGGGTGGAGGTCTGAGCTCACGGCGGCCCTCCTGAGGGGCTGGCTGAGAGCACCATCCTCTGCCATGGGAGGCCCCATGAAGACACTAGAAAGAACAGCTGAGCTGTCTGTGTGCAATAAACTAGTTCTTATCTCACGGACACTGAGAATGCCAGAACTTGCCTCATTTCCCTTTCTGCTCGGACGCCTAGGAAACTCAGAGCCTGATGTGTGTCCTGCCGCTAGCAAGTCTTCATGTCACCCCTGGATTCGGGCCACGGCTTCAGCCTGTTTAGTTTTATTCAGTGGAGATGGAATTCACACGCCACGAAATGTGCCATTTTGAAGTATGCCATCCAGTGGTTTTTCATATACTCATGAGGTTGTGAAATTATCTCTACGATCTAATTCCAGAACATTTCCGTCGCTCCAGAAAGAAGTCCCGTGCCCATTAGCAGTCACCCCCTCGCCCCCTCTCTCCAGGCCCTGGCAGCCACTAATCTACTTTCTCTCTCTATGGATGTCCAGTCTACTTTTACGCCTTCATCTTGATTTTGTTGCTCACTAGTTTATCACAGAGATCCTTTTCGAAATAAAGAAAATTCAGACAGAGAGGAAAATTTATACCCATAACCCACGAGTGGGAACACTGCCATCTCCACTTCTCCTCCCGCCTCCAAAACGGCTCTTGCCACAATGACCGATGGCCTCCATGTTGCAAACCCTGTAGACCAGCCGTGGGCAAACTACGGCCCATGGGCCGGATCCGTCCCGTTTGAAATGAATAAAACTATTGACAAAAAGACCGTACCCTTTTATGTAATGATGTTTAC